ATCGTCCCTACCATATTTCCGTGCGTTTTCTCGTCAACTAGCTCTTTCGAAGGCTGTCAGCAGCAGGATTGGAGGACTTAGGGCTGCAGGCAGCGGGACCTGGAAAACCGGTTTGGGCTAGAACAGGACCGGGGAACTACCTCTGCACATCCTTCCTCCCGGAACCTTCTCCCATCCCGTCTCCCGCTCACCCCCCCAGCGGCTCCGCAGCTGCTCAGCCCTGAGCCCCGGTGTGACCGTGAGGTCCCCCCAGCTCCGGTTCGCCCTTCCTATTTGGGACTTGGGCCCGGTTCTCGGAACCACCCGACTGTCAGGATGTGGACCTCTGCGCTCTAACCCTGACCCCTCCTGCTGTTTCCCCTTCACTGCGGGATGGAAAGAGTGGACAGTGGGCTTGGCACCTCTTTTAAAGAAGGAGAGTGACAGCCAATCACTCTTACTTTTCTGGCCTTGTTCTCCCCACCCTCCCAGCCCCAATTTCACCCTGCCCGGGTTTCTCCGCACGCTGACACACACCCCCTCCCCCGAGTTTTAGGCACCCGGAGGTCCTGTGTCGGAGGGAATGGAATTTCCTGGTCACTTCGCATCCTCATGGGTCATTTCGTGCCAAGTCCCACACACACACTTTCCCTCCACCCAGCTCTGGCCAGGTCCCTGGGAAAGGAACAGAACCGTCCTTGTTCCCTCCGTTGCCCCGTTCCCTCTCCCTCTCTCTCCTCTCCCCCTCTTTTCTTCTCTCTCCTCCCACCATCCACTTCTGTCCACTCAGCTTTGAGCCAGGGGGGTGTTGGGGAGAGTCCAGTCTCAGTGCAGCCTGTCTGGTGGTGTTGGGGGTTTCCTCTCATTCTTCATTGTTGTCTCCATCACCCCCCACCCCTGCCTCCAACCCTTACCACAGGCTGCCACCACCATCACTACAAACCCTGTGACTGACTTCCCCATTGACCACAGCTCCCCTCTCTGGACAGCTGTGTTCTGACTTCCACCCTGTCTCATAACTCCTCCCTCCAGCGGTGGGAAGGGAAGTAAGAGAAAGGACCCGGGTCCTTCCCTTCCTTAGAAGCTGTATCTCAGTGTTTGTGTGATCTCATCTCGGGGCTTTTTAAAACACCACCACCAACTACCCAGTTCTTAGATCCGTCTAGGGTGCCAGAACTTCAGGGTTCAGGGCCTGGGACTGGGGGGGACAGGAGGGACAGGATTTATAGTATTTCTCAAGCTGCCCTGTGTGGAAACGTTGAGCTTGCCTGTGTTACAGGACTGCGGAAACGCAGTGAGTACAGAGAAACTCCGCTGTGCCCTACCCCGGCTGGCAGTAATGAGAGTTCTTCCTGGGGCACTAACGCTTTGGAAAGTTCCTTGGGTCTGGTTGGGGATGGAAGTGGTGAGGAGGGAGGAGAGAACAGGTCACAGCATGAGGGGAGGAGAGAGGGGGAGAGAGAGGCGGGCGCGGAGCAGAGTGGCACGATAGGACATGTGAAGAGGGCGGGGAGGCTGGAAAAAGATTCCTCCTGGCCTGCAACCTGTGCACAAGTCACACACGGAGATACGGCCATGCCACGGGGGTGCACGTGCAGGGGTGCAGTGACAGAGGACACAGAGAAACAGTGTGTGCAGCCTTGAGGCAAGATCTCAAGGTCAAGTCATAAAGGCACTGCTGAATGTCTTTGGGAGGGGTTGGATCTCAGCTGAGGGAGAGGAGGAGGAGCAAGGCCAGGGAATAGAAAGAGGGGGAAGGAATTCCTCATGGTGGCAAGTCTTTCTGGAGGATCAACCTGCTGTACTTAGTCACCTAGGACTTAGGTGGTCAGGGTCTTAAAGGAAATGTAGGTGTTGAGGGTAAGGTAAGGAAAAGGGGGGGAGGGACAGGGGCGGAGGCCTTGTTTGTGAGAACAAAAAAACCACCATTTCCTCTTCAGAGTCACTTCGCTGCCCCTCCCCTTCTGGCCTGTACCCAGGGAGAAGGGAGGTAGAGCTGGTAGTGCCCCCCAAAGTGTGCTCATTTATGCCAGTATCCTTTGGTCCCCTCCCCTCCCATCATCCCAGATGCTTCCAGCCCCCTTCCTCTCCCTCGGTGCCAGCAGCTGCTACGCCTTAACCCCTTGGTGCCCTTTCGCTCTTTTCCTTCCTTCGAGAGTCTCACTGTGAGGTTCTGCCGTGGGAGGTTAGTGTTGGGCACAGGACTAGGGCTTTAAAGGGAGACCCCGAGTCTGAGCTCTTCAGGAGGCTTCTCAGGGAGGGAGGGACTCCCCACTAACCTTTCTTCTCTCTCTCCTTTCTGCTCCTCCAGGGTTCCAGGCCTGAGGAAGAGGACCGTGCGCCTGCCTGCCCACCTCACTCCCTGGCCCTGCTGGTGTCTCAGGGTCTGAGACACGGGCCTTTCCTGCCCAGCTGAGGTTCCGAGGACTCTCCTTTCTCTAGCCCCGCCCTGCGGCGTGAACCCAGGGCGTTGCGACACCCGAAGGGAGTGAGGAGTGGGCGGTCAAGGCACCAGGGCAAGAGCCCTCTGGGGCCTCGGGCAGCAGAGTGAAACTGGAACCATCAGGGAACATGAGTGAATTTTGGCACAAACTGGGCTGCTGTGTGGTAGAGAAACCCCAGCCGGTGAGTCTCCCCGCCCCCACCCCGCACGCACAGAAATCAGTTACCGTATCCTGTGAGGGAGGCTCACCGTCTAGGACCTGCTGTCTAGAAAGCACTCGTCTAGCCTCCCTCTGTCGGGATCGTTTCGGTGGCGAGGCGGGTGGGTAGCACAGTAAAGGGGGACTGGGTGATGGGAGAAGTGAATAGTCCAGCTCTCACTTCCTGTTCCTGTCCCTTCTGAGGTGGGTGGGGGTTGTAGGTGGAGCTTAATACCTGTCAGTTTTCCCCATTGTTTCCTCATCAGCCAGGGGTGACTTTGATGTGTCCTTTCTTTGTCCAGTATTCACTCTGCCGGCCACTGCCCTCACCGCCCTGCCTGTGTCCTCTCTGTGTTATCCCAGCCTTGCCTTTCACACCCGAGTGATTTGTTTCCCTATTGTAACGCCATATTCCCTTTCCTACCGGGCCTTAGCTCTCCCCTTAGTGGTTTTCAAGACTCTTTTCTCTTTCCTCCACTGTGACTGCAGGAGGGGCTTTCAGACATAACTCCCCTGTTTTCTCCAAGCAGAAGAAGAAGAGGAGACGGATCGATCGGACCATGATTGGGGAACCAATGAATTTTGTCCACCTGACTCACATTGGCTCCGGGGAGATGGGGGCCGGAGATGGACTTGCCATGGTAATAAGGGAATGTTTGATATGGGGTTGTGGCCTAGAACGGTTCCTCTTTGAGAGTTCGAGCAGGGGTCATAACAGAATACTTGATGGGGAAGTAAGCAGCGTGGATTCTAGTCCCGGTCACCAGTTGGGTAAACCTGGGACCTTGGCCTTTCAGGTCTCTGGCCTAGGCTCCCTCATCTTTACAGTTAACAGATTATTAATTGGGGTGGGAGATAGATATGTCTTTAAGAGTTACCTGGACGGCTTTTTCCAAAAACCGTATCCCTTCCTTCTGTTCATTAAGAACTGCTGTCTCAGTGCTATAGTAAGTCACATTGTGGTTGGGATGTTGGGGCAGGAAAAAGGCCCAGCACCTCTGTCCTAAATAACATCTAATATGTATTTTGCTCTCAAAATAAGGGAAATGGGGATGGAGATAGTGAAGGAGTCTTTTCACCAATTGCAGAACTTAGATAACGATGATAGGGTCCTTTGTGGGAGGATCTTATAAGTAAAAGAATATTTTTTTTTTAAGTCCTCACCCAAGGACATGCTTTTATTAATTTTAGAGAGAGAGGAAGGGAGAGGAACATTGATGTGAGAGTGAAACATCCATTGGTTGCCTCCTGCACATGCCCCGATGGGGGAATCGAATCCATGACCTTTCGGTGTATGGAACCGTGCTCCAACCAACTGAGCCACACCAGCCAGGGTGTAAAAGACTAATTTTTGTCTCATCCTCACAAAGGTCAGTGTGAAGGGAGGCATGGGAACCTCCCTTGGAAGAATGGTGATTAATTTTAACCTTCCCAGATGATTTTATCTTCAAGGGGATGGGGTCAGCCTCTTCTGTGGAGGGCACAGGGGAGATTTCTTACTGTGAGACATGAAGACTTGGGAGAGTTTCACATGTGCTTTTCCACAGACAGGTGCTGTTCAGGAGCAGATGAGATCCAAGGGAAACCGAGACAGGCCATGGAGCAATTCTAGGGGCTTGTAGCTCCAACAGGAATGGTGAGTAAATAGAGAGCACCTCCAGCACCTGCTGAGGCTCTGCCTTGGAACCCTGATCCTCTGCAAGAAAGGGAATCAAGGGAAGGAAGAATTAGACCGGGAGAGGTAGTAACATGGGATCCAGAAAAGCAGAGAGAAAGGGATGTGCAGACAGGAATAGAGAAAAGAGCGCGCTATGGAAATAGTCTGCACTAGGTGGTGCCTTTCTCCCTGAGACCTTGGTTTTCTTTGAGGCTAATCTTTTTTTTTTTTTTTTTTTTAATCAGTTTTTGCTGTCTGAAGTCTCCACTCTGTGCCCAGCCCAGAAGAGATGCTGCCTCCACCAGATCCTCCGAGAACCAGTGTCCTCAAGGCCCCTTTTTTTCCTTATCTGCCTGATAGTGCCTCAAAAGGCTTGGGGGCTGGACTCCCCCCTCCCTCCTCTGGCTGTAGCCCCTCCTGGAGATGGGGTCAAGGCAGCAGGACTGACCAAGTAACTACTGGTTGGCCAGAGGAGCTCAGCTGAAGCCCTGGACACTCTCAGATCTGAAATGGGAGTTTCTGGAAACCTGGAATGAGTTCCCTCCTCCTGAATGACAGTCTGGGTGCCACCTGTTTTTAATCTATTAGCCTGGGACTCCTTAAATGGCAGGTGGGTGAGGTTACCAAGCTGGAGCTGGCTTTGCTGAGAGCTCCCTACCTCTCTGCCCTTCTCCTTCCTTCTGGAATGAACTGAAGCAGACCTCAAGCAGGGGCTGGGAGGGTGACCACTGCCTAGTCGACTCTCTTTAAATCTCAGACCTTAAGCTCACAGCCCTTCAATATCTCTCTGCCAATACCAGCGTCTTTCTCTAGTTAGGCCTCTAACCCTGTTTCTGTAGCATTGCTAGCTCCCCAGTATCTTTCCTTTTTAAAAACTAATTAAAAAGTAAATTTAAGATGCATTCTCGTAATTACCCCCACTCTGCTACTACCTCCGTCCTTGCCCTCATTCCTGTTAGAAACCTTATTGTTTCCCATTGAATAAGACTTAAAGAGATGGGTCTTAACCTGATGACATTCCAGTTAGATCTTGGGGACCTGGCCTGCCCTCTGCCAACCTCCCTGCTGGCCCAGGTGAGAGGAGGAAGAGGGAGCTGGAGAGAAATCCAGATGGCAGCGAAACTAGGAGTTACGTCTCAGGTGGACTTCCTTCCTGACCCTGGAGGATGATGGAAGGTGGGGAGATGAATTGGTTGAAAACAATCACCTGGGAGTTTAGGAATCTTAAGATCCTCACAACCTGGGCGCAGGGAGACAGCAAGGTTTCTCAGTCTGGACACTTTTGACATTTTGGGCTGGATCATTCTTAGAACTGGGGACTGTCCTGTGCATTATAGGATGTTTAGCAGTGTCCCTGGCCCACCCTAGTTATCACACCCGAAAATGTCTCCAGACATTGCCAAGTGCCTCCCAGGGGGGCAAAAGCACCCCAAGCTGAGAGCCAGCGCTCTAGAATCAACACATTTTTCTCTTGATTTTTATCCCCTACCGCACCCCCATTCCATTATTCATCCTAAGCCTGAGCCTTGATGAACTAGACCCCCTGTAAACTAGGCTTAATCGTCTCCAACCATTTTTTACTCATTGTGTTGCTTGTGCTTGCATGGGTTGCTTGTGATGGACATGCTTCTCCCTTCTTGCTCGGTGGAGGAGGGGTTCCTGCAGGGGTGGGATTGGGGAAGGGAGGGAGAGAAAAGCAGTAGAGCCATAGACACCCCAGCGCTGTGCTCCCCAAACTTGAAGCTCTATTTCTGTGCCCTAGTCCTGGAACCAGACACAAATAAGACTCAGGGAGTTTTGTCTGAAGAACTCTCCACCTGGCCGAAGAGACTGCTTTAGGTGGGGAAGTAATGGAGGAGCAGGGTCTTCAGGCACTTTCCGTTTTCTCAGGTGTGTTTTGTCCTGCCCCCTTCCTCGCAGGGAGATGAGGAGGCAGCACAGGACAGATGAGCTCCTGCCTGCTCTGTGTCCAGAACGCAGGGGTCTCTCAGTAGCTCAGTAGCGGGAAGCATGGTGGTAGTGGGGGGTCAGGAATGGGGGAATGAGGATCCACTCTGCTGATTCCACCATCTATGAAGTTTGCCCCCAGCTACAGTGACTGAGGTTCTAATTTTTTCAAGTTTCAGTGTATTTTCTAAAGTTTTCCAAGGTCTAAGATTGCTCATAGAGATAACATTCCAAATCTATTCTGTGCCAGTCAAGCTAGTTGCTCTGAAAGTAGGTTCATCTTGTTGCCCCAAAAGTAGCTCAATAGCATGAGGGTTTTACTAGATCTAAAGGGTTGACAGGATCGGGTAGGAAGATGGAGGCTCCTGGAATCTGGTCACCCTGATCTTTTAGCCTCATTCTTAGGCCAGTTCTTTGGACACGATCTTTTCTTTGGTTCTCTCTCTTTTTTAATTACCTTCTCTTATGTGTGTGCTACCATCACTTTAACAATGTTTAGAGTGATGGGAATGGGTTTGAGAGTCATAATTTATATTGAAAATTTGTTGGACTTCTAAATAAACTTTTCAAATAAAAAGTTGAAGCAAAATAGTCACAGAGTAATCACTACAGGTGTATATTGGATTAAACGATAGATACGGCCGATGAAGGGTAACTCCTCGAAAGTGGTTAATGTGGGATTTTGTACTATTAACCAGAAAAGGAGGCTAAGTATTGTGAAGGCAAGACCACCATCATCTAAAGGCTCAACTCCTGCTGGGCATTCATCTGAGATTTTTCAAAAGAAGTACTTGTTTAAAAAAACAACTCTGGAAATAAGGAAGATGAACAACAACCATTTTATCCTGGGGGACAGGAGAAGCCCAAGCCAGATGCTGCTGGCTACCCAGTTCAGTTTCACAAAATTTTTGGTCTCTCCTCCAGATACCTCTGTAAAAAGACACAAGACCAAACAATTTTTTTTTCTAGTTTTGTTTTTCTGTACTAAAAATACCCAGTGGGTGCTGGGATTGAAAGGGGAGGAGAGGTTGAGATGCTGACACCTCTTCTTGCAGATCAAGTGGCCATTACCTCCGGTTTCTGTCTATCTGGGTAAGGAAACAAAATAAAGAAAAGGGGGAATATTATAATGACATCTATTTCGTTTTTCCTTGCTTCTCCCTCTGCCCACAAACCTTCATTCCCTCAACACTACTGCCCCCTATTGATGCTTTTTTATATTGAATGATGGCTTTGGACACAAGGAGAGACACAAAAACCATTAAAATGACCATGCATACATTTTATTGTCCTTCCTCTCTCCCCAAAGGTCCTGTCATTCTGTCAACTGAGAATATTTTAGCAGGTCAACAAGAGCCTGCGGTGGTTCTTTTGGTAAAGCAGAGGCCTGTCCTTCCTTAAGAATTCTTAGGTTGCTGAGGATAATACCAGAACAATTCTTGGGGATAGTGATGGTTAAGAGCATCGACACTAGAGTCAAATATGGTTTAAGTTCTGTAACTCTGCCACTTACTGGCTTAATAAACCCCCATTTCTTCAGTTGTAAAGTGGGGATAATAATACCTCATAGGCTGTTGCAGGATTGATCCGGGTAAAGTGCATATAGCAAGACCTCAAATATTGGCTATTGTTGCTCTTAAACTGCATTAATAAGCTGAAAACTTAATTATCTTCCATATCCATTAATTATCTCCATCAAGAATTCTTAACAATTTGGTCAATTATCATCTAGTGACCAATAATACATGTTGCTTAATGACCAACCAGTTGTTCAGGATGTAACAGGTGGAATCCATGGCCAACAATAACGTGAATAAACCAATGCATATTAGGAAACAGATAAGTAGCAGTTCATGCAAGCACCCGGGCTGGTTCAGGACTTTGCAGAGCTATGGACAAAGATCCTGGCTCATCGCCAAACACTTACCGGTTGCATCTTGGTGAACACTGAAGAGAGGCTGTTCCAAATATCCTCCAGCCCAGCCCTGACCTGCCTCCAAAACATAAGCGCTGGGCTGGGGCTGGGACTGGGGATGAGTCTGGTGCCGAGGGTGGGCATGGGGGTGGTGGTGGTGGTGGTGGTGGTGGTCTGAGTTTCAGACCAGAGGGCCGTGTCCAGGGGGCACTCCTCAAGACGCCGATCACAGCGACACTGCTGGTAGGTGCAAGGCCGGTGCTCTGTGCGGAGTTGGCTCAGTGCCCCAACTCGAAGGCGCCCAGAAAGGCCCTGCAGCCTCCCGGCCCGGGTCCTGCTCATGGTGCCCGACTTGCAGTGGCAGTGCCACGGGCCCCAGGGCATCAGCACCAGCCGCAGGTCCTCGGGAGGTGGCATGGATGAGGGTGAGATGCGAGACCAGCGCCTGGGGCTGGAACCTGCTGTTGGCCAGCGGGTCAGGCTGGTGTCGTACAGCGGCTGGTGCTCAGTAGACCTCCAGCTGCTGGGCGGCAGGCTCGTGGTCAGCCTGTATTCCGGCTCCTGGATATTCGCTGCAAACCTGGAGGTGAACCTCCTCGTGGTGCTGGAAGCCGTGCTGTCAATCCCCGACTCGCTGTTATTCTTTTGGGCGTTAATCACAACCCCCTCCTCCAAAGACCCATCCTGGTCCTGCTCCCAGGAACGCAACCTGTTCATGTCCGTGGACACCGTAGAAGCCAAGAGCTCGTCAACGGCGGGGCCCGCCAGGCGGTCGGCAGTGGCCGCCACGTCATCCTCATCCTCCATTATTACCCTTCTCTTCGGGGGGACACCGGACCGGGAGGTGGGCCGGTAGTGGCGGGTCATCGGGCCCCTGGAGCGGAACCTGGCCGGCTGCCTCCCAGTTGAAGCCAGGCCTTGGGCCCCCGCCACCGCCCCGGTGCCCAGGCTCAGCAGCAGGGCCCAGAGCAGCGCGCCGGCGGCGGGGACCATGGGGCTGGGCGGTGTGGGGCTGGGAGGGAGGCCAGTGACCGAGGCCGGGCTCCCCCTCTCTCTCCCTCCTCCCTTCCGCTCTCACCGACCCGCCGGGTCGTTAGAACCGAGGCCCGCGGCGGGGCTCGGATGCGCGCGCCACGCCCCTCCCCCGGGGCCCTCGCCTCCCGAAGCCCCAGGGGCTGAGCTGGAAATCCTCGGGGACCCCGGCAGCGAGAACTCTGCGGACGGACCGATTGTGATGTCAGGGGCGGGGGAAAGAGCACGGCACTTCGTGGGCGCACAGCTTCAATCTCTCGCAATTTATTGAGCACTACATATCTGGATTGACTAAAGAAAGGTTTTGAAAGCACTCCTTCCCAGGCTCACAGGCAGCAACATGACTAAGAAGGAATGAGCGGCAGACAGCGGTTCTTTTTTTTGGGGGGGGGGGGGGGGGGGGCGCGTGGACTCCTTGCTGGCTCCCACAGGCAGGCTGGCTGTGCTCAGTGAAGCCCTGCTCTTCCCATGGCCCCCCAGGTGGAGAGACCTCAGCCCCTTCCTTTAAGAGGATGCAGATGACTCCTGGAGATGAAGTGACTGCCCCAGGTTCTACAGCTAAAGCAGGACGAAGACCCACAGCTTTGCACTGGCCCATACAAAAGACCACTCCTTCCTGAAATGAAAGTCACCAGCAGATCAGGTTCCAGACCTCAAGCTCTGCCTGGAAGGCAGGTCTGGGGAGGAATGACACACTGAGATGTAAAGATCCCGAGGTACTTCGGTTGACGATGAGATGATTTACAAAACAGCTGAGATGTTTCAGGGGTAAAGGTGTAGACAGACTGATATCTTTGCTTGGTTCTAAGGCCTTTTATTCCAATCCCAGGCTAGGTCCTTCCTGAGTCATGGAGATCCTGGTCCAGCCTAGGAGAGAGAAGAATAAATAGTACAGGAACAGGACCTGGGTTTTCTCCCTTTTATCTAGTCTATATATATTCATATTTATATATCTATATATATATTCTATCTATAATTTGATTTTTTAGAGAGAGAGGGAAGGGAGAGAGGGGGGAGAGAGAGAGAGAGAGAGAGAGAGAGAGAGAGAGGAGAGAGAAACATCAATCAATTGCCTCCCGCACACACCCTGACTGGGGATCAAACTCGAAACCTTGGTATGTGCCCTGGCCAGGAATAAATCCACAACCTTTTGGTGGACAGGATGATGCTCCAATCAACTAAGCCACCAGGCCAGGGCAGAACCTGGGTTTTACTTGCTGGTTTGGGGAGAAAAGCCAGGTGAATGGAAGATTGGTGATGCTCGAGTTGGTCATCATTTAGGATTCCTTTGCTCCCCAGCACCCCTCCCCGACTGGATAGTCTCTCCAATTTACTGCCAACAAATGTCCCTTTCTAATTTCTGGATCTCCTCTAAATTCTGTGCTGTGATTATTCCTTCATTCCTTGTTGCCTCGGCACGCACATGTACAGATTTGTATTTGTTTGTGTTGGATACAGTAGTGTCCTGTCCTTAACTTTTTCTCTGCATATGTGCATATTTGTCCAGATGCTTCGGAACATCTGAAAGCAGGGCCTCAGGCTTTTAGTTCCTTTGTGTCTCCTCCAAGGCATTAAGAAAACGGATACTGGCCCTAGCTGGTTTGGCTCAGTGCATAGAGCTTCGGACTTCGGATTGGAGGGTCCCAGGTTCGATTCCAGTCAAGGGCACATGCCCGGGTTGGGGGCTTAATCCCTAGTTGGGGGAGTGCAGGAGGCAGCCGATCAATGATTCTCTCTCATCATTGATGTTTCTATCTCTCTCTTCCTCTCCCTTCCTCTCTGAAATCAATAAAAGAAGAAGAAGAAGAAAAAAAAAAGAAAATGGATACTGGCTTTACACATCCCACCCCAAACCACTATCCTTAAGCTCAGGACTCACCGTCTGACAGCTTCTGGGATGTGGACCTGATCCAAGGAGATGAGTTGGCCCAGTTCTCCCAGGCTGTTCAGAAAACGGATTTTTCGTGTGAACTTGGAACTGAAAAGAGGGGATAAACCATATGTGTTGTATACTGGGAAGAGGGCTCCTGGAGACCCTTACAAAGGGAAATGGAACGGGTGGAGAGTGGTTAAAAGACTGGAAAGAGTCAGGATGGGGCCAGTTCTTGATTTTGAAAATGGGAAGAAGTGGGGAGCATTTGAGATCTTGTTCTAGAGCTTGTTATCAATTTGGTTCAAATAAACTTATTTAAAAAAAATGGGAAGAAGGGGAAGGTAGGGGGTCCTTGTCCCCAGAGCTCATACCTGATGAAGGGCCGAAGCAGTGCCAGGAATGCCTTCATATACCACGTGGCATGGACAACCACCAGGGCACGCAGGTTTTTCCTTAGCCTGAAGAAGAATAGGAGATCATCCTATTTCTTCTTCCATCTTTATACCTGAAGATCAGGTGGAGCTATATTCTTTAACTTCCTTCCCTTTTCTAATTTCTAGATTTTTCTGGCAACTGGGTCTAACCCCCATTCTTTTAATTACAATCTCAGCTCCATCCATCTTATTCAACCCTCCATCCTCATTCTTAGGAAATTCTCCTCTCAGAATCCCTCAGCTTGGTCTTTGATACCCCATTTCCCTCCCGTGTCCTACCCTCCTCATATAAGTTCCTTTGGTACACTTCCCCATCCCTCCATGACCAGGCCTGTTTATAAAACTCCAGGTGGAAGAAGGCCAGTGAGGAGAAAATAAAGAAGAGGGAAGAAGAAAGAGACAAATGAGCAAATGGAAGATGGGGAGGGGGGGAAGAAAGGAACAAAGGAGGGAAAAGATCTGTGGGTCAGGGAGGAAGGCAGAAGGAGATAATGGATTGGAATTTGAAATCAATGGCAAGACCACAGGGAAAAGGTAGGGTGCCTTCTACATGCCAGGCAATATGCCACTCTGATTTACTTTACTTTCAGAAATACCCAGCAGCAAAGGTATTTTGCCATTTTGCAAATAAGGAAACTGAGTCCCAGAAAGGTTAAAGGTTAAGTGACTTGTTCAAAGCCATCGAGCTGATCAAAACAAAATAATCAATCCCCCCTGCCTTCCCTCCTCCTCTCCACCCCCCCCACCCCCACCCCCGCACACACACAAATCCAAAGTCACATAGCTGGTTGGCAAAGGCAAGATTTGAAACTTGATTTCTCTAATCCCAAGAGAGAACAGAAGACAGGAAAGCTTGGAAAGGGATGTAACGAGGGACAAAAAAGAGGAAGAACTAAATGGAAGTAGAAAGAATGGAAAGATGGAAAAGGGTGAGGATTGATAAAACAAAACAAGGTAAAATAGGCTCATAGCCCCTTGTTCTGAGGCTCACCGCCGATCTAGAGTCCGGTAACACTGGCGTATCCAGCTCAGAGGTGGAACTTGAGCCCTGCTTGTGCCTCCATTCAAATGAACAAGCAGATAATTTTCCGCTACCAGCAGCTCCAGAGTTCCCACCATATACCTGGAGGGACAAAATTGTCAGGAAAGGCATATGTTTTGGGTTGTGGGAAATGAGAGGGACCTTACTGTAGACTCTACAACCAGCTACTGATCAAGAAGGGGTTTCTTTCTTACTTTTCCCTCCCTAACCTCCACCCTGGAGCCCTTCAGGCCTTCCAGCTCACCTAAATAAGTGTTCCATGACATAGGTATAGTTGGGAATGCTGCTTCTGGGTAGATAACAGGAAGCAAAGAGGATGACAGCATTGAGGCCCTCACCATGGTAACCTGGGAAGAAGGATAAGGGAAAATTGACAGACCTGGTTAGGTTGAGGGACTCTGAGGATTGTGAACCCAATAACAAGGTTCCAGCTTAGGCATTTTATTCCAGAAGTCACCGTTCTCACCCCTCCACTTATGCTAGCCATTACCTCCATGAGATAGGACTTTCTTATAGGGCTCAATGACAGTCATGTCCACTCGCTGCTCCCTCTGCCCTGTCCGGAAAACCCTCCAGCGATGGCCATCTTCTCCAGCCACATCCCACATACAACCCTGGCCCAGCCTTTCAGCTGCCTCACTGGCCCCCAGGCCCTCTGCCTGGGGTAGCTCATCTAAAAGAGAGGGATGGGGAAGGATCAACAGGGGGGAATACACACCTTCAGTATCTTGTACCTTCCGCAGATGCCTAGAGTTTGTTACTCAACTTCTCATTCCTCAGTTTTTCCCCATGACTCTAGCCCTAGTTTGTTCAATACACCCAGACTCTTGCGGGTTTCAATTTCCTGTGACTCGTTTTCCTCACAGTGGTCTTGAGGTAACCTTGACTCTGGTAGGTCAATGGCCCTTGACAGTATCAGTTTTTTTCTGGATTTTTTCTTTCTTTCTTTCCACACTTTTCCTTGGGTGAGCTCACCTATTCCCATGTTTCAGTTACCACCAATAAGTCCTGGAACCCAGGACTTCCAAACTTGCCTCTTTAACCCAGGCTTCTCTCTTCACTCTAGACCCATGTCCCTACATGCCTAGACTGGACATCTCCACCTTGTCTGTCTCTGTCATCTCCTAGTCACCAGACACAAAGTGCAACTCAATGACATGCTCTTCCTCTTCTCTCCCATATTTCCTTTCTTGGTGAATGACCCCATCTCTCTAGCTTCCTGAGAAAGAAAATTGTACATTGTCCAAGACTCTTTCTTCTCTATCAGCCCTTAAGCCAACTGGACTCCAGATCCTCATTCCTCTACCTCCATTACATTCTTTCCACTATTACTGTCCTGGTTCAGGTTCTTACCTGGCATTAGTATTGTATCTATCTGCCTTTAGTCTGTTTTCCTCCATTCCAGCCTCTACACCACCACTAAAGCAAGCTTCCTGTTCTCCCCTACCTTCTTTACTGAAATGGCAATATACTATACCCACTAATTCTCCAAAATCTTTCCATAACAATAGAAAGAGCTGCCTCATCTTAAAAAATAATTGCCTAGTACTTAGTATTCCATTGTATGGATGCACCATAATAGCATTAATATTCTACTGGGGGAGCCCTTAGGTTATTTCCAATCTTTTCAGAGCAATTAAATCTGATCATGTCATTCCCTTGATTAAAAGCATTCAATGACCCCACCCCCCAATTGCCTATCAGATAAAATCTAAATTCCTTAGCATGGTAGCAAGGATCTCCATGATTTGACGTTGCTTATTTAACATAGCACTATTTTTTGTCATTCTCTCTTCACCTCTCAGCCTTTCATATCTGAGTGATATTATATTTTGTTGTTATTTTGTTCCTGGCTCTGGGGACAGCTCCTGATGAAAAAAGTGAAAAGGTGTTTTGTTATTCATAACAAGCCCCTTTCAAAAACATGGGTTTGTATTAATGAGGTGACATTGGAAAGCCCCTAAGGATGGTAGCTGGTTGCCAGGGGAACCATCCATGTGATTAGAAGGTTGGAACTCTGGGGGGGGGAGAGAGGAGGGAGAGGTTGTGTTAATCACTAATGGTCAGTGAATTAATCACTCATGTCTACATAACGAAGCCGCCATAGAAAGCCTATCAGAAGGGGTATGAAGAGGCTCTGGGTCCGTTAACGCACGGAGGTGCTAGGAGGGTGGTGTGCCGGGAGAGGGTCTGGAAGCTCCACACCCCTGCCCACTCACCTCGTCCTATGCTTTTCTTTCTCTGGCTGTTCCTCTTATAACAAATCTGTAATCCAGTAAGTAAATTGTTTTCTTGAGTGCTAGTGAGCCATTCTAGCAAATTACCGAACCCGAGAAGGGGGCGTTGTGTAGCCAGTTGGTCAGAAGCACAAGTGACAACCTGGACATGCCACTGGTGTCTGAAGTGGGGGGAGGGGCCACAGTCTTGTGGGACTGAGCCCTTAACCTCTGGGGTCTGTGCGAACTCCAGGAAGTTAGTGTCATAACTGAATCTTAGACACCTGTTAGTGTCTGGGGAGTGGGAGAATTGGTTGATGTGAGGAAAACTCACACGTCCGGTGTCAGAAGTGTTATGAGTAGAGAAGAAACACTTTTCCTTAATATCTAAATAGTCATGCTTAATCCTTTGAGTTCCCAACATGTCATGCTCTAGTCCTAGGTGCTTCTCCAACTACCTGATAAAACAACTGCTCAGAATCACCTCCTCTGTGAGGTCTTAGGCAGAACTGACCTTTTCTCTCTCCCTGCGTACATTGTACCCTGTACACATGCAGGTCATAACCTTTAACTGCACTTATTTGTATATATGTTTATTTCTTACCAAATAGATAATTCTCTGAGGATAGGGATCTTATTTATCTTTATACTCCAATTTTAGCTCAGTGATGGCATGCAACAGTCATCCAATAGTTTTTCTTGATAAACAAAGGACCCCACCCCTCCTCTATTGGACTACTCTCCCATTGGATTTCTAGGTTCCACCTTTCCATCCTCAAGAACTAATTTTGCTGACCTTACCTCTCAGTTCCCACCTTATTAGTTCTAACTTCAGTCCCATTAAATCCATCCTGAGCTTTATCACGGGCCTCTACTTCTACCTGCTTGTTCCTCAGGTTTCTTTCCCACCTTCCCATTCAAATTCATGTCCACTGTCCAGCTTCTCAGAGTCTGAAGGTGTCTCCAATTCGTCTATTTCCAGGTCAGTACTGTCATCAGGAGAGGAAGGTACAGAGTGGATGGGAGAAACACCATTATCTCCAGGCCCCTTCGTCAAATTCAGTCGTAACTCTGGGGCAGAAAGACGTTTACGCATGCGGCGCTGGCCACACAGGGCTAAAGTGCTGGGGGTACCTGGGTAGGGGTAGGAGGACAAAAAGATAGAAAGATGCGTGTGTGTTGGTTAGGATTCTTTGTATGTGGAAGTGATAATATGGGGTGAATTCTAAAGGACTAACACGGGGGACAGTTGGGAAAAGGGAAGTAGAACTGCAAAGGGATGAGGGCGGCATAACCCTCCACTGGATTAGAATCAAGAACTTGAGGCCTAGGTTCTAATGGACCTACCTGCCTGTGAGTCTCTTTTAGGATCGTCGGGGTCTTCAGAAGAGTCAGACTCTTCAGGAAGCAATCTGGAGGGGAAACAAGATTAAAAGGGGGAAGAAACGTAGGCTAAAGGCACCGAGCCAGGTATCAGTTCTCTCTCCCTGTCATGATTTTACACCTCTGCTTTCCTGCTCCCACCTCTTCAAGTTCTAATTTGCCATCCTTGCCCTCCGTTTGTGACCATCACTTCCGTCTCCCAACCTCCCTCTCACCTCCTCACCTGGGGAACTCTTCGTCCTGCCATTCCTCCTTCAGCTCCAGTTCTCCAAGTCTCACGGAGGCTCCTAGTCCTGCTACTTCTGCATTCTCCCTGACCCTAAGATAGTCCCCCGTCCCCCGGAAGAAAAGATGATCATGAGACAAACTAGGTAATGTCTTGAGGGAACTGGATTATACGTAGGAGACACAGGAATGAAGAATAGTAATTAAGGGGCAGAGCAGAGAAGAGGCCTTGAAAAGAACTTGTCTGGTAGATGTTTCTACCATCTTCACCACTTGCTGGCAACAGGTCACCCCTACTGCTTGGGGTTAGGAGCAGAGGAAGGGGAGATGTAAGGCTCATCATATTTACCTCTATGGCAGTTGCTCCACCTACACAGTAGGGGTGAGAGGTATTCCACATGACAACTGGCTGGAAGCCGACAGACCTGCCCAGCTGTCACTTGGCAAAGTCCAGGAAGATGGCACCTAGGCAGGCCTGCCTTTCCTCCACCTGCTGGGGAGTGGTCAGGGGAAACCAGGTCTAGGTGGAGGGGAGAGGAAGAAGGTAAGGAGGAAGAGATTTGCTGGGGAGAGCCTGGACCCAAACTTAGTTCTGGGTCAGCTTTCCTGACAGCCATTCTGGAGTATGGGGGTGAGAAAACAGAGAATAGGGGCATATTTATCAGACACAAAATATACGAACTTCCTTTACAAAAACACACAATAGGGAATTACCCTGGACTCATTCACCAGTTCCCATACCATACCAACATGTCCTACCTAAAGCCACCCCATCCCTTCTCTGTAAATTCCTACAGCTTTTTTTTAGGTTGTAAAAGTAAAAATTTTTATTTTGATTGATTTCTCAATAATTCCTACAGCTTTCTCGCCTCTAGGAACCCAAGATTAGACTTGGTGAGAGTTGGATGGTGGGGAAGTCCCAAGAGTATTCACTTTTTGTTTCCAACCAAGTTAGCGAAGGTGTTACTTACCCAAGAGCCAATGTCTTTTCTCCTGCCTCTTGTGTAGTCCCCATCTTCACAAATGTGCCCCCTTCTTTAAACACCTGGGGTCCTCAGGGAATTGGCCGCCCCAGCTCTCCGACAACTCTCTACCCTTTCTCTGCCTCAGCTGTTGTTGTCTTGCCTCTAAGGAGGAAGGTGTGGAAGGGAGGTAACCTCACTCTCAAACAGGTTTTGCCACCTCCCTTCTCAATGAGCAGGTTTGCCCAAAAGAAAAACCATGCCTATGTGGGGGCGGACTTTGGGGAGGAGAGCACATTTTCTTTTTTTTTTAATTGATGTTTTTAGAGAGAGGAATGGGGAGAGAGAGAAACATTGATTGGTTGCTTCCAGTATGCGCCCCAACTGGAGATTGAACCTGCAACCTAGGTATGTGCCCTGACTGGGAATCGAACCCACCACCTTTTGGTGTATAGAACGCTCCAACCAACTGAGCCACACCAGCCAGGGCGGAGAGTACATTTTTTTAGATGGCCAGTCATGAAGGGCTCTCGGGAGGCAATTTGCTCTTCTTTCTAGACTCCTTATAATCTGGTAGCTGCTCTTAAAAAAAAAAGGCAATGGTAAAAACCACTTGGTTGTAGGACTATCTTGGTCCTACACCTTTTAGAGCATAAGCAAAATCAGCGACACAGGAGTATATTAAAAGGATGGTTCTAGAAGAAGAAACAAATGGAAGGAAAGGCTGAGGATGGGGAGAGCTAAAAGACTGTTGCCCCTTATTCCCAAGAGTCAACTGAAGGAAGATATTAAGTACAACAGGAAGAAAGGAGAAAATATTGAGGAGGCTAAAACAATTACCTGATGGAAAAGCCTGATTGTAGTTGTAAAAAGAGACACTCAGACCCCAACCAGGAAAAAATTATTTAATACTTTAACAAAATGCAAAATAAAGTACCCAAGTTACAAAACATAAATTCCTTTGGTTCAGTAATCACACCACTATTTTTATCTTCCAATGGCTACACACATCATCCCCTCAAAGTGAAGTCACACGGTTGTCCCCTTCACACTGAAGACATCATGCCAAAACCATCACATACCTCACTATTCAGTGAAACTGTTGGCAACTTACATGGAATAGAGCCTTGGGGTAGGAAAAGGGGGAACAGGTTGGTGTGAAGAAAAAAGGGAACTACACATGCAGAACGAGTCAGTGGGAGGGAGCTCTTTGTTGAATCACTATGGCATGAATCAGACACCCTGTACATGCTACATGAGGCTGAGTCCCTCGGTACAATCACATATAAATACAGACAATCCAGTGGCCCTGAGCACTCCCAGGGAAAAGAGAACTTCTAGTCTAGATCCTTAGTTTCATAGATGGGGAACATGAGACCTAGCGATGAAGTGTCCTGCCAAAGAACACACAGCTCATGGCAGTCCATATTGGGACTCCATGTTTCCTTGTAATCAGACCAAGAAGAGAATGACATGGACAAGAGATTGACAGACCCGCTAAGGCAGGGGGCAGAGCTGAGGCTCTCCGTGCAGTTCTGCCATCTTTTGGGAAGAGTGCCCATGAGGCCTTTCTGAGTGCCTCCTGAACGCTCAGGGGTCTTTTGAGTTTCTCCAGGCTCCCTGTGGCTTTGGAACAAGGGATCCAAAGAAACTGAGAGCCAGGCCACATGATCAGGGCAGAAGATAATGGCCTCTAACCTGCTCCCAAACTACCCTAAAAGAGTCACAGTAAGTTCAGGAAAAACATTCAGCCACCTCAGAATCAGACACCATTACCTAATGGGGCAGAAAGAGGAGCCATGGAGCTGGAAACCTAAAGGCTGCAAGCTGGAATAAGAGTTCCGAAGCACTCTATTGTCTGCCGAGCGTAGAGTAGGTATTCCATCAATACTTCAATCAATGAGAGAACAAATGAACACATGGAGACAATGGAAGTTTGGTTCCATGGGAGATACTGGTTCTGTCAGAGCCTTGCTGAGGGCACTGTTGGGGTGCACATTCTTTTTGTGCCACGCTGCTGGAACAGCAGAGGAGTTACATCGTACCCCTGGGGAGTCAGTGCAGAGCTGAAGAATTAAATTAAATAACAGAATCTGATTAGGAGAGATTGGGGGGGAAGGTAGAAAGCCATTCCTAAAGCAGCTGCTTTCTCTTACTTCTTTCTCCTCCCAGATTTACGAGAACAGGACAAGTGCACCAGACCCTGGAGCAATGGAGACAGAATTGCTGAAGCCTCTCAAAACATGCATTCGAGGTGGTTCAAGCAACCCCGCCCCCCGCCCTCTCCCCTCCCAATAGTCACTTCTTGGACAGGAAGGCAGCGGTGGATTGTGACAGCGAGATCTGACTGCACTTCTCAAAGATGGCCTCAGCTGAGAGTTTAGGCAGCCCCTGATCCAGAGGGCACTCATCCACCAAGCTGTTCATCGGTGTGGGGGGCAATGGAGGCTCCTCCTCATCTTGACTCAGTCCAGGAATCAGGGAGGTCCCTGCCCTGTCTGATTCCTTGTCCACCTGCTCCCTGGCAGCCTCAGGGTGCCCCGAAGGGATTGTCATGGAGTCAAAATATGCTGACAGGGCTTCCTGGAGCAGAGGCAGAAGTTTCTTTCGAGAGACCTGGGTGTTGCCTTGAAGATAGGCCTGGAGGTTAGGATGAGTGCTTGGGGCAGGGGTCAGCTTCAGGGCCGGAGAGTGGGACCGTTCCAGGACTCCACAGATCTAAAGAGGCGACAAGATGGGGAAATGGTATTTCAGGTGGTGAAGCAAACTGTGGAGGCAAACTGCTGAGGCTTCTAAGTTGGGGGCTTCTCTTACAGAGGAGAAAAATTTTTAAATCACCCAGAGTTAAGCTTTATTGCTTGCAACAAAAGGCATATCAGCTAATATACATAGTATTTTATTTATTTATTTATTAGTTAATCCTCACCCAAGGATATTTTTTTTCCATTGATTTTTAGAGAGTGCAAGGGAGGGGGAGAGATACATTGATTGGCTGCCTCCTGCACATGCCCCGATGGGGTCAGGGATCGAGCCTGCACTGCAATTTAGGTACGGGACATGTACCTATACTGAAGTCAAGGGAAGGACAGAGGCAGAAAAAAATGAATAGATCAAAGTGAGGGTGGGAGGTATGCCAGGCATGGTGCCAAATCTGGCCATTTATCAATTCTGTATTACCTCATTTAATCCTCACAATTGCTTTATCAGATTGGTATTACTATTACCCTCACTCACAGGTAAGGAAACTGAGGCTTAGACAGATCAGGGGACTTCCTAACGTCATAGTTTGAAGGAAGCAAAGCTGACACTGAAACCCAGGCCGGTCACCAAAGCTGGTATTCTGAATCACTGTGTTCCTAAAACAGGAGGAAGAGAGGCAATGGTAGGGCTGACTGTGAGAAGAGGGCCCATTTCCCAGCACCAGGCAGCCTGGGCCATGGCAGTGCCATCACAGCTCCAGGGAGCAGCACCGGGGGGCTGTGGTCGGGAGAAAGGGGAGAGATACAGGAAGGTGGAGAGAGGCACTTCTACTGGCCAAAGTACCTTGTCCTTTATGGCATGATTAGTAGGAGCCACCTTTTACCCAGTGTTTACTTTGTGCCCAGCAATGTACTATTCATATATTATGTTTAATGATCACATCAGACTAATTAGGAGGTAATATTATGCTATTTACAGGCTCAGAAGTCAACTGACTTGCTTTAGCTCAAAGAGAAAGTAAGTGGCAAATCTGGGATAGAAAAGCACGTCTATTTGCCTTTAAAAACTGTAGTCTTTCCACAGTGCCCGACTTCCTTCCACTGAATGAAGTTACACTCGCTTCCTCCAGGAGAAGACAAAGGTGTGGGAAAGGGCGGGCGTACCTTTTACAGGCTCAGAGGCTTATCTGGCTGTATGCAGACCAGTCTTCAGCAGTCATCCCACAGCCCAAGCAACCCAAAGAGGCCCTGGACTGCCTTAGGTCCACTTTCAAATTCTTCCCGGGGCTAATGAGTAACCAAAAGGAAAAGAAAGGGGAGGAGCAGGGAAAGGGGGCCAAATGGAAGACCAGGCAAGAAAACAAACCTGCTCCCGTCACTTCCCCACAGTCAGCGCTATACAGTGAGTACTCCCCGCAGGGTAAGTAGTAGGAAAAGTGCCTCTTGTGTTTCCCGTCCAGGGCGATCGGGTAAAGGGAAAGGAATTGACTTTCAGGGGTGAGGAGTTCATGATTAAACAAAGAATCGAGTTTAACTCCAGATTCGTTTACATTTACTTTTAACCAGATTTTCAGATCTCTTCTAAGTAGGAACTCCATCTCTAATTCTTTTTGGAGTCTCTCTTTCTCAACAACAATATGATTAAGGGTATTCACATAGACATAGAATGGAAAAAGTGGGAGGGGAGATTCTGGAAAGAGATCAAGGGGCCTGTGTGTAAATGTAAGAACCAAGGAGCCAAGGAGCGGTCTTCACAGCGCAGGGCAGCGTGTGCAGGCAGAGCTCCGCAGAGCCCTCGGGCTGGAGGAGAGAGAGACTCACTGTCATTCGGAGTGCTGCATGGGGACAGAAAATAGCCAGCTGCCGCACTGGCTCGTTGTGCGCGTTGAAGAAGATAGTCATGGCGACCAGGGCGTCATAGCTGTGAGCCTGGCAGAAAGCATGGAGGTCTGCAAGGAGGCCAGACCTCTGCAGGAAAGCCTGAAAGAGAAGAGACGGGCAGGGATGAGGGCTACAGCTGGAACCCCCTTGTCACCACCAACAAAAATACTTATGAAGAGTTTCTTCACATCTTAACCTGGGACTTGTACTCCATAAGAAAGGGTACCTAGTACTTACGCTATGCTATCTATGTGCTGGGAGGCAGTGTGTAGAATGGGCAGAATACAGGTTTTGGGTTCAGACAAAATTGATTTGAAAATCAGCTCTATTACTTATTAGCTATTGATCAAGGAATTATATTAACCTCCCTGGACTTAAGTTTCCTCATCTATAAAATGAGAATAAAACATCTACCAAGCATGA